GGTCGGGAAGAGACGCGAGGAAGCTGACAGCCCCCCAAGACCTGTGCGGGATGGGAGCGGAGAGGTTGCCGAGAATTGTATGGGAGGCGAAGTGGGCAAACAAAAAGAGGGGTAGACAACCCACGGAATGGGTCAAGGTTGTAGAGGACGTATGGAAGGGGCTCGACATCGACGAAGATGAAACGCTGGAAACGGAGGGTCTACAGGGGTTCAAGGAGAAGATATCTGTTGCTTGTGCTGAGAGAGAAGAACAGAATCTAAGGAAAGAAATCAAGGATAAGGAGGGTCTAGAAGTGTACGGAATGTTGAAGGAAGGAATAGGGTTCAAGGACTACCTACATGGACCAATGGATGCAGGAACAAAGCTTAAGGTCAAATTCAGGACCGGGGACATAGGCCTTCGAGAACGTCGACGAAGACATAGGACGGTAGACGAGGAAGACGACGAGTTCAAATGTGATTGCGGCTTCGAATGCGAAGACCGTGTTCATGTAGTCGCGGAATGTCCGTTGTACAAGAAGGAGAGGGAAGTGTACGTGACTGAGCTGGGAAAAATAGATGGAACGTACAGGGAGATGTTTGAGGCATGGAATAGAGAGGAAAGGACGGTAGCTGTACTGGGGCATAGGAGGTGGGTTGAAAAGGCGGGAAGGGATATCGTTAGGATAGACAGACTAGGGAAGACATTTTTGAGCCACCTTTGGCAAAGTAGAAAGGAACGATTGGCCATCGGTGATCGATCCTGTGGGAACAATGGTCCGTCCTCTCGAGGACGCGTGGTCAATGGTCTAACCGCCAAGGCATGCAAAACATAAGAGTACGCCCCCCCCTCCCCCCCAAGACCTACCAAAACTCTACGGCGTGAGATCCAAAATGGATCGGACGGTGGAGGGGCGGGGGGTGTTCGTTGTTTGAAGTGGATCAAGAAAACATAGAGCCATCAAAGCAATGCTTATTACTCACGTCGAGCAAGCTGAACGACCGGACCAACCACGCAAAAACTGCGGAGCTAGATGTGCGGCACGCACAATGCATTGTTTTCGATTGGAGAGAGGCGGGTATAAAGCAGTAAGGAATTGTTGGCCAAACTTCCGGCAGATAGGTCTACTCGGGAGCGTAAGTGGGGTAGCAACCCATGGTGGAGCGTACATGAGAAGCTGGACGTTGGTGTACGCCCCATCCCGGCGTGTGAGTAGGATCTTAGGCTATGCAAGTCGTCCCTGAACTTATTGTGGTGAAAATGACCTCCCAGGAGGAAAGTAGCCTGTACCGCGGGACTTCGGAGATGATAAATTGGGTGGTCGGGGGACGTCTGGGTGTTAACTAAGCAGAGCGCCCGGCACAAGACTGGGGTACTTGTGCCACGAGGTGTGAACTTGGATCTAGACTACGAGCCTATGTTGCAGGCGCTATTTAGCGTCGGTGAGCCG